GTGCTCCACGCAGAACGTGCCCTCTTGAATACCCATCACCAGGCTAACCCATCCTCCCACCCCCCTCCCCTCTAGAACCCTCAGTTTTTCAGAGTCCATTGTCTCTCATGGTTCGTCTCCCCCTCCAATTTCCCCCTCTTCATTCTTCCCCTCCTGCTATCTTCTTCTTCTTCTTCTTTTTTTTAACATATATTGCATTATTTGTTTCAGAGGTACAGGTCTGTGATTCAACAGTCTTACACAATTCACAGCGCTCACCATAGCACATACCCTCCCCAATGTCTATCACCCAGGCACCCCATCCCTCCCACACCCCACCACTCCAGCAACCCTCAGTTTGTTTCCTGAGATTAAGAAAGCATCGTTTTTTTTTTAAAGATTTTATTTATTTATTTGAGGGAGAGACAGTATGAACAGAGGGAGGGACAGACAGAGAGAGGGAGAAGCAGACTCCTCACTGAGTGTGGGACTCCATCTCATGACCCTGAGATCATGACATGAGCCAAACCAAGAGTCAGATCCTCAACTGACAGAGTCACCCAGGCACCCCATAATCTCATTTAATTTTTCAAAGCAACCTATGTACTAGATACTAGTCATTATCAGTTCAATTTTCCCAATGAGCAAATTGAGGCTTAAAGAGGTTATGTAATTCACTCAAAGTTACACAGTTAATGTATGGTTGATGGATGAACCAAATCTTAGTATATGTGATTCTAGAAACAAAGTCTTTGATCATTGTAGTGTATGCACATTGATGATCCTGTTCAGGGCATCTGCAGAGCACTTACTTGTTGACAGTTTGTGTACTTGATGACTGAATTAAGCAAGGCACAAGGTAGCTACAGGATAGTCCCATATTAAAAAATATATACATGTATATGCAATATTGCCTAGAGGAAAAGGGTGAGCTAATTTATTATTGGTGTGTTTTAACTACCTCCTGTCCCTAGTCTACTTTAAAAATGATTTACGAACAAAAATAAGATAATTAATGTAATCTGAGTAATTGATGATAGATGTTACTCTTTATGGCTTCCATTCTTGTCCTAAGAAACAAAGCCTCCCATATTTCTAGATAATAAAAATCAATTTTGCCATTTTCCTTCAGTACTTTTGTAATTTTAGATATTTATTTTTTTATATTTTTATGTTGAATACATTTGATTTTATGTGTTGCAAATTTCTTTAAATGACCCCCAAACCCTGCTTCATTTATTAAATATTTTTCCTAATATGTTAAAATAATTATTTTATAATGCAGTTTATACACACACATATTATTAGCTTACTCCACTAATATATATATGTGTGTATATATATATATACATATATATATCTTTTCCTGCACATTTTTCCATGCTTTATACTTTTTTTTTAAGATTTTATTTATTTATTTCACAGAGAGAGAGAGCACAAGCAGGGGGAGCAGCAGAAGGAGAGGGAGAAGCAGACCTCCCACTGAGCAAGGAGCCCCATGTGGGGTTTGATCTCAGCAGCCTGGGATCATGACCTGAACCGAAGACAGATGCTTAACCTACTGAGCCACCCAGGTGCCCCTAAAGATTTTATTTTTAAGTAATCTCTACACCTAACGTGGGGCTAGCACTCACAACCCTGAGACCAAGGGTCCCACACTCTACTGACTGAGCCAGACAGGTGCCTCCATGCTTTATACCTTTATATCTGATAAGATCACCACTACACTACAGCATTTTCTTTTCTTTTCCCAAAACATTCTTCACAAACTTGACCACAGCTTTTCTAAATAAATTATGGCATCAGCTTACCAAACATAAAAACACTGTGGATTTTTTTTTTTTTTACTAGAAAAGAATTTATAAATGAATTAGGGAGAATAGTGACTCTTTTTTAAAAAATATTTTATTTATTTGAGAGAGAGAGATAGCGAGAGAGAGCACGAGTGGGGGCAGGGGGAGAGGGAGAAGCAGGCTCCCTGTTGAGCAAGGAGCCCTATCCGGGGCTTGATCCTGGGTTCCATATCCCAGGACCCTGGGACCATGACCTGAGCTGAAGGCAGACGCTTAACAGACTGAGCCACCCAGGCGCCCCAAATAGTGATTCCTTTTTGTCTGTTTTATTTTTATTGTGTTGGATAGACTCTTCAGTGATAAATGTTTACTCAACACTGAACATTATTATGTTTATTAACTGAAGAATGTTTCTTCTGTTTTTTGTTTGATAAGGTTGTATTTTTTTTTTCAAATTCCAGGAGAATTAATCAGTAGCAATTTATTAATTATATCTTATTTTTTATTTTAAATTTATTAGTGCAGTGGATTGCAGTGATAGATCAAGTTTTAAAACATCCTTAATTTCCTAAAATAAATACTTGTTAGTTATGACATATTTTCTTTTACATATTTCTGTATTTTTCTTGCTTATGTTTTATTTTAAATCTTTTAGCATGCAATCCAACTGTTATGTCCATAGTTAATTTTTCTGTGTCATAATTTTCTTCTCTTGAAATCAGCATTATACTGACATCCTAGAATAAATTTGGAAATGTTCTGCCTTTACTGAAACTATGAAATATTTTAGTACAATAGAAAACATCAGTCCTGGAAATTTTTTCCCCAAACTTCTTAAGTGGTTTCTTTCTTTTATGTCTCCCTTGGCTGGTTTCTGGACTCTCTTCTGTTCTATTCATCTTTTTTTTTTTCTTCAATTCTTTCACTGAGGTCATATTGATGTGGGAAGCAAAGGCAAAAGAAAAATTAAATTTCCTCACTACTTACAGCCCGTTCACAAGTCCTTGAAACAGGCAGAGGGACATTCCTCTAGGAACTCAGCTGCTTCCATGTTAATACTTGGCTAAGGGCAAAGGTCAATCTTAGCCCAACCCCCCAACACCTGTGTAAGTCTACTTTAATATATAAAAATTCCTTTAGAAACTTCATCTCTACCCCCCAAGATACAGGTTGACAATCATCCCCCAAGCGTAGGGCCCACTGGCATACCTCTGAAGGGTCTCATGACTGAGGGAGGTTTTATTAGACAGTAATAAATGACCTTTTCCCAACAATAGCTAGCCCCATTGAGGTCCTGAAACCTTACTTCCAGAATTTCTTAGAGACTTACACTATCCCTAACCCCCTCCCAACATGGAAGTATATAATCAGCTACTCCTCATGACCCCAGGGCAGCTCACTGAGCCCACGGGTCCTGTCCCCTGCTTTAATAAAACCACCTTTTTGTACCGAAGTCGTCTCAAGAATTCTTTGTTGGCCATCGGCTCTGAACCCCACCACTTCAAACCACATCAGTATTGCTTCAGTTTTTATATGTGTTAACTGCACTTATAAGACATAGCAATGTGTTTTGTTTTAAATTAGAGAAAATCCTATTCTAAATAATAAGGACATTGCATGAAGATGGTTTGATTGGGAGCAGGCCATATTTCCCAGCAATTATTTAACTCTACCTGCCCCTGTCTGTGTTGACTTCACTACAGATTCACTTCCTTTCCAGGAGCCAAATAGCTGTATGTTATTTCTAGACCTACTGTCACAAAGCCTGGGGGCACCTGGGTGGCTCAGTCGTTAAGCGTCTGCCTTCGGCTCAGGTCATGATCCCAGGGTCCTGGGATCGAGCCCCGCATCGGGCTCCCTGCTTGGCGGGAAGCCTGCTTCTCCCTCTCCCACTCCCCCTGCTTGTGTTCCCTCTCTCGCTGTGTCTCTCTCTGTCAAATAAGTAAATAAAATCTTTAAAAAAAAACAAAAAAAACAAAGCCAAACACCACAACACACCAATCACAACACCACAACATAATACTGACCAGCTTGGGCCAATTCAATATAGGCAAACCATGTGGATGCCTCCCTTTGGAGTGGGAGAAGTGATAAAATGACAAAATAGTAAATAAATAAAATGACCTGAAGAAGTGACCAAAACATTTACATGAGAGTATTTCTTTAAACTATACATTGATGGCTGTTAGGGCATGAGTACTTTTTTTATTGTTATTTTCTTTAAATAATTTGATTTTAAATGCCTTGTCTAAACCTGTTTGGATATACTTGCCATTGAATTTTAAAATCAACTTGTTATAAAAAAATCTTTCTTAAAATCTTGGTTAAACTGAGATAGTAGTAGTGATAATTAACCTTCTCTTACAAGAATCATTTGGGGTTGGGGTGCCTTGGTGGCTCAGTCGTTAAGCGTCTGCCTTCAGCTCAGGTCATGATCCCAGGGTCCTGGGATGGAGCCCCGCATCAGCTCCCTGCTCAGCAGGAAGCCTGTTTCTCCCTCTCCCACTCCCCCTGCTTGTGTTCATGCTCTCACTGTCTCTCTCTCTCTGTGTCAAATAAATAAGTAAATAAAAAATCTTAAAAAAAAAGCATCATTTTGGGAGTGAAAAAGTTTTCCATGCCATTATGAAATATATAACTTAACTGATTATTAATATTTCTCCCTTTGCAGTATTTAATGGAGAAAGCAAAAATTACATGTAATTGTTAATTGCTGTTTGATTGGTTTTTGTTAACAGTGTATGAAAATTTTGATGATTGTTTCATGCTGAGGTCTTATTATGAAGTTATGAAAACTACAATAAGTAATAAGAATTATTTCAAATTTCAGTTACACTCAAAACTATATTTGGTTTATGGGCCTTTCAATCACATATATGTCACAAATGGATTATTTATTGCTTTACTGTGTACCATAGAGAACTAAAGGAATCTATAGACATTAGTGATGACTTCAGTTCACCTTATATATTGAAGCCTATTTGAATCTCCTTTGAGCTCAGAACATAGCTTTTTCTTTTGTTTGGTTTTGGTTTTCTTCCTTGAGGAGAAGAAATAGAGGGATAAAAACTTGTAACTAATATTTCAGATGGAGGTAGCTTATTTTTATATTTTCAGAACTATTTCACTGTGGTTTCCCTGTGTTGATCCTATTTTGTGGATGTAATCCTCTGACAGAATTCTGTCTGGGAATGTCCTTGTCTGAAATTATAGTCATTGGCCATAGAAATGTCCCCTTATACTATCGCTTCTTTTCCGAGAGAACACCAAACGGCGGATGACGCCGGTGCTGCGGAAGGGCCCGGAGGGGCCGGAGGGCGCCGCGGCGGCTTCCGCGGAGGCTTCGGCAGCGGCATCCGGGGCCGCGGTCGCGGCCGTGGTCGGGGCAGGGGTCGAGGCCGCGGAGCTCATGGAGGCAAGGCCGAGGACAAGGAGTGGATCCCCGTCACCAAGCTGGGCCGCCTGGTCAAGGACATGAAGATCAAGTCTCTAGAGGAGATCTATCTTTTCTCTCTGCCTATCAAGGAATCTGAGATCATTGATTTCTTTCTGGGAGCATCCCTCAAGGATGAGATTCTGAAAATCATGCCTGTGCAAAAGCAGACCCGTGCTGGCCAGCGGACCAGGTTCAAGGCGTTTGTTGCCATCGGAGATTACAACGGACATGTCGGCCTGGGTGTTAAGTGCTCCAAGGAGGTCGCCACTGCCATCCGTGGGGCCATCATCCTAGCCAAGCTTTCCATCGTCCCCGTGAGGCGAGGCTACTGGGGGAACAAGATCGGCAAGCCTCACACTGTCCCATGCAAGGTGACTGGCCGCTGTGGCTCTGTGCTGGTGCGTCTCATCCCCGCCCCCAGAGGCACTGGCATTGTTTCAGCCCCTGTGCCCAAGAAGCTACTGATGATGGCCGGTATCGACGACTGCTACACTTCAGCCAGAGGCTGCACTGCCACGCTGGGGAACTTCGCTAAGGCTACTTTTGATGCCATTTCCAAGACTTACCGCTATCTCACCCCTGACCTCTGGAAGGAGACAGTGTTCCCCAAGTCTCCATATCAGGAATTCACTGATCATCTTGTGAAGACCCACACCAGAGTCTCTGTGCAGAGGACCCAGGCTCCAGCTGTGGCCACCACCTAGTTTTATACAAGAAAAATAAAGTGAACTAAAACTTGA